TTTCCTGCCTAGGCAGGGGGTTGGACTAGAAGACCTCCAAGGTCCCTTACAACTCTGCTATTGTATTGTATAAATAAGACCTAACCAGAAAATAAGCCCTGATGCATCTTTTGGAGCAAAAACTAATATGACCCAGTCTTATTTTCGGGGAAACACGGTACATACTTTTTGGATCTTTATTCTGGGTGTAAATTTCTTAAAAAATTAAAAGCTTAAGTAAAAAAAATCATTTGAATGTAAAAATAAGAAATAGAAAAATATAAGTTCTTTTTCAAATTTTGGAGTCTTTTATATACTGCACTATAGGTAAACAAACATTGTTTAAATGGTAATACTCATTCATAAGACATGCAGTAACAGGAAAACCTTGTGAAGAACAAAAATGTTTTATAATATCTGATACAGCAGAGATCTTCAACTTGGCAACTTTAAGACTTGTGGACTTCAACTCCCAGAATTCTCCAGCCAGCACAGCTGGTGACTAACAATTCTTACCCATTGCAATATGTAAGGAATGTAGAATTGGCTGTGGTTCAGTGTTTCAACGTAGAAAAATCTTGAGCTTTCATTGGTCTATATAGTGATTTGTATTAACCAATCCTTAGATACATGTGGTTTATCTGCAGCTGTAGAAATACAGCTGCCAACCCACTTGGCAAATGTCAAGTGGGTTTCTTACAGATTGTTTCTATCCATGCTTCTTAGTTGGACTGAAATAAATATGTACATACTTTGTTTTCGGTTGATTTTGAAAATTGAGTGATAGGCTAGATTAGGGTTTGATCTGATAATTCTCAAGAAGAAAAAAACCTACAATTTTCTGGCAAGGTAGATGAATGGAGTTATAATGGTGATTAGTGCACTTGGAAAACCAGGATAGGGACAAATCATTGTTGCTACGAGTCAGCACAGACTTCAACGGCACACAATCAGTTATTTATAATAGTGACATTGTTGAGAGTCCATTTGTTGCATGAACTTGGGCTTTAACATGTTAATTGCAGTTACCATATTTTTTGGAGTATAAGATGCACCTTTTTTCCTTTAAAAAGAGGCTGAAAATCTTGGTGCGTCTTATACATCGAATGCAGCATTTTTTGCCTCCCGGAGCCCCGCCCTCTTCACCAAAATGGCTGTGCATACCCTTATGGAGGCTTTCAGAGAGCTGCTGGGGAGGGCAGAAATGAGAAAAAAATGGACCATTTTTTGCCGCCCCCAGCAGCACTCTATAAGTCTACATAAGGCTATGCACACAATTTTTTTTCGACAAAAAACGAGCCCGTTTTTGCGAAAAACGGGCCATTTTTTACTCATAACCCCCCCGCCCAGGAGCACTCTGCAAGCCCCCCCCCAAGGCTATTTATGCCTCTCTTTTTTTTTTTTGAAAAAAAAAAGGTCCATTTTTGGGAGGTTTGCAGAGTGCAAAAACTTTTTTTCCTTTCGAAAGCTCTTTAGTTAGAGTGACTTATGAAAATTAGATTGATCAAGTTCTGTGCCAGCAGAAACAAAGTCTTAGGTGCTGCAGATTNGTGTACAAAATTCTCCTGACAAAGTTCTGAATGAATTTACAGAGAGATAAAAGTGGATAGTCCAGATATTTTTTAACACAATCAAGAGCTATCAATGCTAAATGGAACTATAAAAGTTCCATACAATTATATAGTAACAGGAAAAATATGAGTTTTCTTCATCAACTGTAATATTTTACGTTCCCATATATATTCTGTATTCAGATTAATGTTTGCGTGTTAATAGATTCTTTTTTCATTTTTTTTCAGGCCGTCTTTCAGATTCGTCACACATGATGACATCTCCAGGTATAAGGTATAAATCATTTTATGGCCGCCTTATTTTTCTCCTACAGCTTTTCTACAAACAGTATAATAGTATTTTTTTTCCAGTGGCAAAGCATGAGGTGGAAATATTCAATATTTCTGTCTTTTAGCTGTAATTCACAAGTTTGTGGATGACAGATTTGTCATAACCGTAATGCTAAAATTTTAATTTTATGGTTTAAAATTAGGGTTTTAGTGCCAGAACCACCTACAACTGGCTTGTGCTAATCATCTAATGAGGAATTTGGATCGAGTTGCACATCAGATGCAATTGTCTAAAAGTTTGCTATAACTATTTTAAGGCCCTTTCAAAGCCTTTGAAGCATAGGAAGTCTGGAAAGAATATTTCTTTTAGTATCCTGGAGAGCCAGTTAACCTAGTGAGTGCTCATTTAGTTGAATCAAATGACAGAATAAATTCATATGATATGTTATACTCACCGAGAATTGTCTATTCTCTAGTTCCATTCAGGTGAAGACTGAGCCCAATGAAGATTCTGGTACGCATTTGTTTCTTTTGAAAAATACTAATTCCTTGAACTTACAAGGATATTGTTCACAGCAGTGTGTGAATTGACATCAATCTGTGTCCATAAGAGCAGAAGTTCAAGTATCTCTGCTGTCAAAATTATGTGAAGCTTTTTTAAAAATATTTCCCTGAAACGTATTGTCAAGTGCATTTTCCTAATATACATGTTTTATTTGAATTTTTCAAAAAATATGCATTTTTAATATGAAGCAGCCATTAATTATTTTTAGTCATTTCCAAATTTCTACTAATGAGCTTCATGGCCTAGCGAGGCTGCATGACTTACATTGTAATTAGTGGATCTTGAAAATGTCTCTTTGCTAGGAACTTACTTTAATACAAGGTTTGGTCCTAACCTTTCATAATAATTATAAGAAATATTTACACATGGGAAATTGAAGCCTCGTCAGGTCCTGCATTTTATTTCCTCTGTCATTTGACCAAGAACATCCATAAAAATTATGGCCATTGCTAAAATACTTACTTGCAAGGTTGATTTTTTAAAAACCCCCCCCCCCCCACGCAAGTGCAATTGTCTATTTTCCAGCCATGAATTGGATAATTGACTG